GCAATTCATGTTTGGTACAAACGCAGAGGCCTACTTTCATCACTCCTACTACCAAATCGGTGGCGCGAACTAACAAGGAATGGGATGATGCTTGCAGACTTTCTGCTGTCTGGAATAGTGTGTGAAAGGGTAAGGCATCATAAAGCCTGGCTGTTGTCGACTCAGCTATGAACCAATTTAATTGAGCAATAAAATTGTTGTGTACGGAATCACTATCAGTTTTCTTATAGCGTTAGTTTATAGTGTAATCATCCCCAAGACGTCATTCAAACTTGTCGGAAGTGGACTGAGCTATTGTGCGCCGGGTGGAGGAAATGTTCAGTGCAAAACGAGGCTCGCATTACCACGTCACACCCACACGAAATAAAAGATGATACATTCCTAGACCAGATTACGAGATAGCAAATAGGAATCCTATGTTCGGAGAAGATTGCGAGCCATTAGCGCGGATATTTAAAGTCAATATGATGGGGGTAGAGACCAAGTTGTCTTGGCACGTTGACAGGAAAATAGAAAAATCGCTGAGATGATCTGGAATCTAATACCCAGCAAGTACATCGTACATACTTTTCTGATTTTCAGACATACTTGAACAAAAATGCGTCTGACGAAAGGGTGTGGGTGGTTGGGTATCGCATCGTTTCTGTCTATTATAAACTAAGATGTATTGTCTGCCTATACGATTGAATTCCAGAGAAAATTGCCTTTAAACACAAACGATGGTTAGTCAAATCGTAGATATGGAGACTAAGATCGTATGGCCTTGGGCTTGGTCGCAGCCTCCATTAGTCGTATATTATTTGTTCGACCTGGTTTTCGCGACAGGGTGTACCTAGACCTGCTTCCTCTCTCCTAGTATTCGTAATAACTTCCAGCATGTGATTATTGAGTTGCTACATTCCCGGACATTTCGCCGACATCATCACTTGGACAGGTTGTACCTCTATGCTAAGTAAGATGCCTATCAGTGACGATCCTGTGAAACGTCTGGGAATGTACCAGGTAAACGATCCAACGCTGGAAAATATCGCGAATATCGTAGCGGCGGATACAGGAATAGGTACGTTTCTCTGTC